CCCTCCCGCTCCCCGAATTGGGCCGGGCGCCCTGGGCCCCGCTCCCTGCCGGCTGCTGGCCCCGGCTCAGGCTCGCCTGCAGCTCAGCCTCGAAGCTCTACCAAGAGCAGGAGACCCCAGGGAGGCGTTGGGGTCTCTGCACCCGCCAGAGGAAAACACCGAAAACTGAGCTTGGGCCAGGCCAGGGGAAGGGATGAGTCTGGAGGGAGCAGCGAGAAGGGAAGGACGGGCTGTGGGCAGGCAGGGGGCCAGAGCCCACAGCCCACGGCCCCACAGGTCTCCTAGCACAAACCCTCTCTGTTTTCTATGCCGTGTTTGAGGCGGTCAGCTTGTTTTTAGCCTGCCATGGATGAAATATCAGCCTGTGTTTTACTGAGCAAAGGTCTTTAGCCGATAGTGGACCTTTGTTGGTCTCTTCTCCCAAGTAACTCATGGTAGGATGTAAGGAGATGGCCTCAAGCTGCGTCAGCGGAGGTTTAGACTGGATATTAGGAAAAATGTCTTTACTGGCAGAGTGGTCAGGCACTGGGACAGGCTGCCCAGGGCAGTGGGGGAGTCCCCATCCCTGGAGGGGTTCAAAACCCGTGTGGATGTGGCACTTCGGGACATGGTTTAGCAGGCAGGGGGGTGTTGGGGTGATGGTTGGACCTGATGATCTTAGAGATCTTTTCAACCTCAGTGACTCTGTGGTTCTATAACACACGGCTGCGCAGCGAAGCCCAGGAGCCGTCTGTCGGGGCAGAGGCACGTGGAGGGACCCGGCTCTGCCGTGGGAGAGGAGCGACGTTGGCGTGGGGCAGCAGGGACGGAGGGGACATGGGCAGAGTGCTTCGCTCCGCTGCTGCCTGCGTTTGCTGAGGGGGGGTCCTGCGCTGGTCCCCAGCGTGGCTGGAGCGGCAGCTGATGGCGTCTCCCCCCCGTTAGATCACGATCTATGAGCTGGAGAATTTCCAGGGGAAGAAGTGCGAGCTGACGGAGGAGCTCTCCAACATCAACGAGCAAGACCTGGAGAAAGTGGGCTCCATCCAGGTGGAGTCTGGCCCGTAAGTCCGGGGTGCGGAGGACGGACAAGCCCCGGGGTGGGGGGAGCAGCGCTGCCCCACGCGGGGTGGCC